AAGGACTGAGTTCCTACTCGTCAGCCCAGAGGAAGTACTTAACATTCAGTGACTCCGTGGGTCTCCCACTGCTCCCCCTCTCCGAGAGGGTCCTATGCCTGTTTGTCGCCTTCCTTAAGCATCAAGGGCTAGCTTATCAATCCATTGTTTCTTATCTTTTAGGTGTGAGAAACCTGGCCATCGCCAGTTGGGACACCCCGGAAAAGATGGACCACATGCCAGTTGGTCTTACGGGGGATAGCTAGAGCCTCAGCTGGCGACAATGGATGGGCGGCCCACCTTTCTAATACAGGGACAATCATACACCAGCTCGTGGGTGTGTGGTCGGGACAGGACGTTGAATCCCGCCTGATGTGGGTGGCCACCTGTATGGGCAATTTTTGGTTCCTCAGGGTGGACGAATTCACAGCTACTGACTCAACTCCCCCTAATGTTCAGATGTCTGAGGTGGCCTTTAACTTCAGATCAGCCCCCACTGCTATTCATCTCCGCCTCCATAGAGTGAAGACTGACACATTTGGCCGAGGGACGGAGATTTTTTTGGGGTATCGGGCTCAGGGGTGAGCCCAGTGTCTGCACTACTCAGTTACCTGTCAATCCGTCCATTCGAGGATGGCCACCTCTTTGTGTCAGAGGATGGCAAACCTCTCTCCGGGACTGCCTTTGTGACACGCCTTAGGAGGGGCCTCTAACTGGCCGGGCTCGAAATGTGCCGTTATTCAGGTCACAGCCTCTGCATCGGGACAGCTACCACAGCAGCAGCAGCAGGGGTCGCCAACTATCTCATAAAAATCCTGGGGAGGTGGCAATCAGAGGTATACCAACTGTACATGCACACACCAAGGGATTCACTCCTGGGGGTGGCCCGTCTGATTGGGGGTACTGTTGGATAATAGGACTCCTTTTGGCAGCAGGACATTATGTATGTCAAACTACTATTTAACCATGCAGACAGACCCCTCCCCCTCTCTTCCTTTTCACACATGTTGGTACACATTAATCTGTTAGTCTGTTCTCTCCTCTTATTCACATTCCTTTCGATTCTTATTGCTCCGTTCTCTCCCTTCTTTTGTTGATACACATGCATACTAATTGATTGCCCACCCCCTCCTCTCGCTCATTTCTACTCACCCTTTTCCCCCTTATCCACTTGTACCCATTCTCTCTCACCAGTTGTGTTAGTTTTCTTCTTACAATTTACTTATTTACTCTTCCTTTCCTTACAGTTCCCTATAATGTCATTGTCTCATACCAGTATAATTGAGTCATAGAGGGGCTACTTAGGGAGGGAAAGTCTCAGGAAGAAGTGGGCTGTTTGGGCGCCACGGAAGCTCTGCCCCCCCTCCTTTGATGACGGCCTGTGGGTCATTACTTGCGATTGTCGGCCCCACCCTGACTCTGGGTGGGGCTACCCAGTGAGTTTCCAGAATTCCACCCCCCCCTCAAAGAGCTCATGAAGTAGCAACGAGGGGGTGGGAGGATGGGAAAAAACCCTGACGGGATGGAATGCTGGGGCCCCCAGCCATTCAAGGGTGTGGGGGGTGGGGCTGACGTGGAGCCCATGCATTGGCCACACTTTCTTGGGGCACTGTGGCCACTGTCTTGTTGTCTAGGTAACCCGAAGGATGAACAGTGGACCACGGCAGGCAGATGGACCCAAGGTAACATTAATTGCCATTTAGGGTAGTGGTTTAATTGGGGTCAATCAGAGGGGCCACCCTCGCTCTGGGCGAACCGCCCACGCATTCAATGCAGGACGTGGGCGGTACACTGGGAGCCATCCCACACACTTGTATGCATGTGTTGGAGACAGTATCGTCGAAGCACACTCATGGAAGAAGTGCTCAGAGAAGAGGCACTGCTTGTCCTTCCACCACACCCACATCTAGGCTTAGGTTTTCCACTGGGTCTCTTCCCAGTGTGATAGTGTGGGCACCACGGAATCTCTGCCACCCGTCCTTTGATGACGGCCTGTGGGTTAGTCCTTCCGATGGTCGAGCCCACCCCAACTTTGGTTGGGGCTACCCAGAGAGTTACTAGAATTCTACCCCCCCCCCAAAGAGCTCATGCAGCTGCAACGAGGGGATGGGAGGATGGGATAGAACCCTGACGAGATGGAATGTGGGGGCCCCCAGCCATTCAAGGCTGTGGAGGGGTGTGGCTGAAGTGGAGCCCATGCATTGGCCACATTTCCTTAGGGCAGTGTGGCCACTGTCTTGTTGTCTAGGTATCCCGGAGGACGGACAGTGGACCACAGCAGGCAGGTGGACCCGAGGTAAGATTTATTATCTATGATATGGCATGGGCGGTACCACAGTGGGTGTGGCCATTGTGTATGAGCATGCCATAGAGACTAGAGTACAGGAAAGGGATTGGAAACCACCGGAAATATTACATGTAGATGATGCGTATCCTAGCAACGTATGCAAGTTGCCCCCACAAAGTGAGGAAAATGGAGGAAGGCCTTGCACTTCACTGTTCATAACTCTAGATGAGTATCAGTGTGAGCTCTTTTAATACACAACCTGAAAAATTTAAGACCTACTCTTTCTAGTGATATCAGTTTTTCGTGTATTACAACTAAAAAAACTGTTTAATAGTGCCTTGAATTGTCATGGTTGAAGTTGCCCTTGACTGCTTTTAAGTTTTGTACCCTTTACTCAGAAGGTATTGAACTGATCTTGCTGTTAGGCTTATAAGCAACTAAATAACATCAAACTGGAGGGCAATGACAGGTTTTAAAAGAAAAACAAAGTAGTTTTGAATAGTTATGAGCGAAAAACTGTTCCAAAACTAGTTTTGTTTTGTACACTTAACTCAATCACAATAGATGCTACAGCTCTCAAACGTCATGCATGAATAAATCATTCATATGTTGAGGGCAATAAGGTATAATAGTATCTTCATTTTACTTTATAAGTAACTAAAGCTTAATTTTGTTAATTTTCTATTATTTTATGTACGATAATTCTATGGCAGTGGTTATTTGTCCGAGAGTCAGACACCGGTTTTTACCATTATTTGTCCGTAACACCATCTGCTCATGTGCAGAAAACAAAATGACTGACAACATTGACTTTAGTGTTGGTGATAAATTCTCTTATTTTGAAGCATTATCGACAAAAATAGCTGCTAATAAAAAAAGCAAATGCGTTCAGTACTATCGTCATGATTCAGACACTCTTGAAAATGCCAAGAAGAAAGCTCCTTTGAAGGTTGACAGTTCCAATAAAGCTCTTAAGTACTATTACGTTTTATATTCCTGTATATTTGGTGGAAAGGAATTTCATTCGACATCAAAAGAAAAAAGACCCAATCAGAGGTAACAATCAAGTTTAATACAGTACAGATGGAAAATTTAGAGGGTTTAATATTTCTCAAATTTTCAGTTAAGGATTTAGTTTTGGCCAAACATGAAAATTACGGTACATCCCTTGAATTTTCCATCCATAGTGGTATATAAATATTGATATTTTAGGTTATGGAATTATTTTAATGATTTAATAGCACATGTTGTCAAGAGTAATTTTCAATTGAAGTTTTCTTTGTCAGATGACAGTCAATATTTAACCATTACTGATATCAGTGATGAACATAATCATGATATTTCAAAAGTAATAAATATAATAATATGAACTTATACTATATAAATGTACTATTAGGAAGTCTATGACCATCTACCTCACCAACGAGAATTAAATGAAGTAAAGAATGATGTGGAAAAGTTATTGCAGTTAGTTGTTGACAAAAAGCTATTGCGAGAGCATTCAACAGACACTAATTTGGAAAAGTTAATTGGGGCGAGCCTGAACGAGCCCCACATAAAAGATACGAGTATGTCTGTCTGTCTGTACACGTACGTCACCCCTATTTATACGTATCTATGATTCTAAAAAAATAACACGTTTTAAAAATGATAAATTGGTAAATTACGGCACCACGTGAAAGCTCGTGAAGCTCGTCGTCTTCTTCGTAATGAGCGTGATAGGGAAAGGAGAAGGAGCGAAACGGAGGAGGACAAAAGAGCGGAGGTCCAAGAGAAATGCCAGAGCTAGGTTCCGCCGCGCCCAAACACAACAAGTGGAGTCTCCTTCTGACAGAGAAGATCGCCTGTCTGAAGAAAGAGCCAGGATACGAGGGATAAGAGAGCAAGAGGACCCTGCTGTGAGAGAAGAGCGATTAGCAGGTGATAGAGTTCGACAAGCATTGAGGAGAGAACAAGAGGATCCTGCTGTGAGAGAAGAGCGATTAGCAGGTGATAGAGCTCGACACACATTGAGGAGAGAACAAGAGGATCCTGCTGTGAGAGAAGAGCGATTAGCAGGTGATAGATCTCGACACGCA